GCTCATTAAGAGTGACTCAGACTGACATCTCGGGGAGTTCAGGGATGTTTTGACGAGACCGCAAACATTGTGGTCCTGCTGGACAGCCCCCGCTTGAAATCAGGCTACGTGCTCCATCCACTCAAAGGCAGGAGGCGAGCTAGCACACGCTGTAGCACTGGGACGGGTATGGCGTTGCCTAGCAGACCATACCATTCCCTGTCCGTCAGCCCGCTCGGTCGTCGCAGAGCCTTCGGGAAGCCCATGAGCCGCCGCATCTCCATGTCGGTGAACTGACGTCCACGCAGTGAGATCCAATGACCTCCCTGCTCAGCCCTGGTTTTTGTCAAGCAAGGCGACACATTATGCATGCCATTGGCTCGGCTGGAGAAGATATCGATGACCATGGGCGTCCGGCTGGGCCGAAGCCCTTCTTGCTTCAGCTCGGAATAGATGGCATCCACATGTTGTGCACCCAGACGATTGCGGGGCCTCGCTTTCTCGACACGCTCCCTGGATTTTTCTTTCTTCGTCCGCGGATCCAAGATGGAGCGGATGCCCACTTCAGGCAAATTCTTGGGCCACTGGAAGCAGGACATGCTTGCAGGGCATTTGCTCTTGCGCAGCCCTATCAGTATCAGTCGTTCCCTATTCTGGGGCACACCGCTGAAGCGAGCATTGATGATGCGAAAGTCCACGGAGTAGCCTGCGGCGCGCATGGCTGAGACTAGCATTTTCAAGACCTCAGGATGACGTTCTTTGAGTCCACGAACGTTCTCTAACAGCACCATTGCGAACTTCTTCACTTTGATCAATTTCAACATCGCACCCACAACCGAGCTTCTTATGTCGGCCAAGCCAAGACCTTTGCCGGCGGAAGAGAATCCTTGGCACGGAAATCCACAATGAAAGAGGTCCGCATAGGGCCAGTCAGATACGCTGTAGCGGAGAACATCCTTGCGGAGGATCTTCGGAGTGAAGTTGGCCTTCAGGGTCTGCCTGGCCGCCTTGCTGATGTCTGCAGCGAAGCAGTGCTGGAGCGGCACGCCCAAGGCTATCAAGGCCCACATCAAGGACTCCAGACCGGAACACCATGTCCCGACGCGAAGTGCTGGCTTGTTCTTAGCTGGCTTATGTGCCAAGGAAGAGCGGTGAAGCTTCCTTGTCGCGGCGCCAGCAAATGTAGAAGCTCTGCCTCTCGATGCAGCCGCGCCCGATCGCTTCCTTTTGCCAGCCATTGCTGAGGGACACCGCAAACGGACGAGCTCGAGTCCAAGAAGGGCTGCTGGGGAGACAGGCTCACGTCGCAGGATTGCTCACATGACGGCATCCGCTGGCCCAGAGCAAACAGCCTTCGATCAGCACAGCAACTATCTACTCCTGCGCGTGCGCCCCGTCTCTCTCTCTCTCTCTCTCTCTTGCTGTTTCTCCCTTTCTCTTTCGTTGCCAGTGCGAACGTCACACAGGAGTCACCTCTGCAGCAGTTCCTCGAGCTCGAGTCCACCAAGGACTGCCGCATCGAAGAGCTGACACGACCTTGACCCAGTCAGCCAGGCACGCACTCCCAGGAGTCAGAATTACCGAAATGCTGTCTGAAACATGGACGCCTGCTGACCCGGATGTGTCTATTCACAAATGTGAGGCGTTCCCTGGGACATTCGTTCCTCCAAGGATTTGTGGCCAGCCTCCTGCCCATGTTGCAATTAAAGGTAGACCCTCAACACAACGGCACCAGCGACAGCTATGTATCATGAGACCTGAAACATGGAACACAAACACGTGAAT